CCAGAAAAGCCTTGGCAAAACCCCTGTGGAGATTTTACCAAGAAAACCCCAAGAACAAGTAATACCAACAATAATCAATATTATCATGGCAGGCGGCAGCGGTGGTAGCAGGACCGGCCTGGGGCCGGTCCAAAGGCCTCGGGGGGGGCGCATCCTGCCCCCGGGCCTTAGGTTGCCTACCCCTGCATTATATGATCGTTGCCTTTGTATATTTACTAAGAAGTGCAATAATGTTATGGTTGCATTTTGCAATTGCTCCTGTTAGTAAAAATTAAAGCAAGTTTGCAAACCAGCAGGGTAGAAGATGTGGAGAAATGTTTCATCCCATTAGATAGGGCCAATAATCTCATCTCATTTTATAACATCAAGGCAAAATGGGGCTCTAGAACAATTCCTTGTAATAGTAAACTGTCTGGGCCAATGGAGTAGTTGAATGCCTTTCATTTTAGGAACAAATTAAGTAATAGATTTCTACATACTCACTGTGACACAAAATCCACAAATGAGAATGTTATACACAAATTCACAAATGCCATCACCCCAAAACCTGTACAGCAGTCCCTCCCAATTCGTAGGGCATCTGTTCCAGACCCCCCCCCCAAAAAAAAGGGTGGTTCACAAATATTCGAGCCCAATTGAAAATAATGGCACACGTGCACCCCGCCATTTTATCCTTCCCTGCTTGTCCATCCCACGAAGAGCGAGACCACTAACTTGAAGTCTGCAAATGTGGAGGGACAACTGTCATTGAAGAATATTATGCTATTTAGGAAGGTTTACATAAAATACATTTCTCCAATTGGTGGGTGTGGATGTGATTCTATGAAGAATTTTGAGCTTTGTGTTCAAGGTTAGAGAAAGAAGTCTGTAATTGTGTATTCTTGCATGGCAGGGAGTTGACTTGATGCCCACTGTGATCCATTCTATGATTCTGTGAGTCTTATTTAGTTGATTGGTTGATGGGGTTGTGTGCTCTTGTGAGGCAAGTGGCTGTGGTAGTGGTCACACTGCTGCTGGTAGGGTCTCCCATGTCAGACAGGCTTTTGCTGAGGAGCCAGACAAAATGTGCCAAACAGCTACTGGGCAGCAGCAGCAGTGGGGGAATAACATGGGTGGAGGATCTCAGAGTCAATGGCCATGGCAGACCACAACAAATTACATTCCCCAGAATTCCATAGGCTTGAACCATGGAAGTTAAAGTGGAGTTAGGCTTGCTATTTGTCCTGGAAAACCAGGAAATCCTGGATTAAAGGGTTTGAAAAATGTCCCCGCCAGCTGGGCTGGTTGAAGCAACAGACTACAAATCTCAGAATGTAAACTGATGGGAATATATAAATAAACAAGAACTTGAAATACAGTGGGACATTGGTGTAACTTCTGGGGTTTGGTTCCAGGACCCCCCTTGGATACCAAAATCCATGGATGCTTAAGTCCCATTATATAGACTTGCTTACTCAAAATGGTGTTCCTTATATAAAATGGCAAAATCAAGGTTTGTTTTTTGGAATTTGTATGTCAGAGGATACCATGCAAAATCAAACCAAATCATTTCACTAAGGCTCCATGGTAAACCTATGAATATCACCATAATTCAAGTATATGCACCAACCACAGTGGCAGAACAGAAAGAAATTGATAGATTCTATGAAGTACAAGAAGAAATTGACAGTACACCAACACAGGATGTAAAGCTGATCATTGAAGATTGGAATGCAAAAGTTGGAAGTAAAGAAGAATCAAAAACAGTAGGAAGATTTGAATTAGGCAAAAGAAACAAATCAGGTGAACATCTGATAGATTTTTGTGAAGCCAACAACCTATTCATTGCAAACACATTTTTCATACAACCAGAAAGAAGGCTATACACATGGACATCACCAGATGGTCAACACAAAAATCAAATAGATTATATAATCGGAAGTAAAAAATGGCGGAATTCTATATTGGTGGCCAAGACTAGACCAGGTGCTGACTGTGGCACAGATCATGAATTACTCATATCAAAAATAAGATTAAGATTCAAGAAGAAAACAAAACCAGTGATTATACCAAAATATCATCTAAACAATATCTCAACAGAATTTATTGACAGCATAAAAAAAAGATTCGTGCTACTAAGCATAATAGACTGAGAACCAGAGGAACTATGGTCCAAAGCCAGGGATATAATAAAAAGAAGAATGCAGACAGATATTTCAATAAACAAAAAGAAAGAGAAAAAACATGGATGACAGAAAAAACACTACAAGCAATAAAGAAAAGAAGAGAAGAAAAACAAAGGGAGATAGGAACAAAGAATTATGAATGCAACAATACAATGGATTGTGCAGAAAGATAAAGAAAATTACTACAATGACCAATACAGGGAAATAGAAGACAACAACAAAAAGGGAAGAAACAAAAAAATCAAACCAAAGACCAGGATGCTCTATGACAATAAAAATAACATAATTCTAGACCAGGAAGGAATAAAAAGATGTTAGATGTAATACACAGAAGAATTATACAAAAGAAATGACAAAATGAAGGACACATGAAGTGAAGAACCATATGAAGATGAACCCCAAATTCTAAAAAGTGGAGGTGGAAACTGCAATAACAGAAATAGTGAAAAACAAATCACTAGGGACAGATGATATTCCATTTGAACTGCTGTAAAATGATGGCCAACAGATTGGAAGTGATCGATATACATCCCCATCCAGGAAAAGGGAGACACAAGAGACTGCAGCAACTATAGGAGCATGTACGGATGTGAAAGCTGGACAGTTAAGAAAGATGATAGGAAGAAAATCATTTGAGATGTGGTCCTGGAGAAGAGTGCTGAGGATCCCATGGACAACCAAAAGGACAAACAAATGGGTCCTAGAGCAGATCAAGCTGGAAACCACCCTGGAAGCCAAGATGGCCAAACTGAGGCTGTCATACTTTGGACACATCATGAGAAGAGAGGACTCTGGAAAAAACAATAATGCTGTGGAAAGTGGAAGGAAGTAGGAAGAGAGTAAGGCCACATGCCAGATGGATGGACTGTATTAAAGAGGTCATGGGTATGGGGTTGCAGGAATTAAGCAGAGCAGTGGAGGACAGGGGATCTTGGAGATGTCTCATCCATAGGGTCGTCATGCTTAACAAAAAAAAAAAAAATTGGGGGAATATTTTGGATATGGGTGTTTGACTGTATGCAATGTTAAATATCAAAATGTAGTGTTGTGTGGGGTTTTTTTATAGGCGGTGGCAGTGGTGTACTCACCCATGATGTCACCCAGTGTGGGGAGGTGGGACTTATGGGGTGGGACCTCTGGTGGGACTTCTGGGGGTCCCACCCCATAAGCCCCACCTACCTGGACTAGGTGACATGTGGGGTCATATGAAAACAGCCATGCAGGCCATGGAAATGGCCACCTGCTGCCTACTTGGGCCTGACACCCCTCTGGAGACCTCCCCCAAGGCCTGTGGAAATGGCTGCACAGCTGGGGAAGGGCTGAACAGAGCAGGAAAATGCCATGCAGAATGGGAAAACAGCCGGCCACCCAGGGAAACAACCACTGGCAGCCCACCCGGGTTGGAGACCTCTCCCCCAATGACAGCCCCCCAAGGGCTGTGGAAGTGGCCGCATGGCCGGGAGAAGCGCCATGTAGGGTGGGAAAGCAGCCACATTGCTGGGAAAGTGGCCGGCCGCCAGCTGCCCGCACCATCCCCGAGGCCCGGAGCGGCACCCACACAGGCTTAAGGAGTGCCTGCGGAGGGGGGGGGCTGACCATATGTCAACCCCCTCTTCTGGGGTGTCGCCTCCTTCTGGGGTTTCACCCAACTGCATCCTCCGCACTCTTGTCAGTGACACTACTGGGCGGTGGGTTGTTTTTGTTTTTTTAAATAAAGTGCCTCAATCCTGTCTTGCATATTTTTGTCCTGGTTTTGTGGAAGAGAATGAGACTTATCACATTATTAAACAAATCCAGCAGGCAAACCCAAAGGAGCATTTTTTCCCTCCCTCCCCGTGACGTTGCTCTCTTTTGTTCTCTTCTAGTTGTAAAAATGTGGAAGAGGGTCATAAAAGTGTCCCATTTGCCAAACTGGAATAATCAGTTTGGCAAAAACAACGCTTCTATAACATGAAGACAACAAGGGAGGGGGAAAAATAACATTTGCCTACCGGGTTTGTTTAATCAAGCAATAAGGCTCAATGATGACAACCCTTTTGTGGAGTTAAACCAGATTATATCAGCAGTGCAGTGCAGTGCAGTGCAGATGCAGCCTGTCTCTTGCACTTCTTCAAAGGGAATGGAAACTTGCTCCAGGTGTGTAGTTGTCAGCACTTCCATCCCTCTGGCACCAGCTGCCTCTTCCAGCCCAGCAGTCTTTTGCAGGTCCAGCCTGCTCTATGGTGACCAGGAGGCCTCACCGCCAGGGAGGACAAGGCACCATAAAATTGGGGACACTCAAAAAATGGTGGTGAAAGAAGGACATGACCAAGAAAAAGCTCAAAATACTTCTATAAAGATAAAGTCATGCTTCTCAGTCCTGCTCAAAATGGAGGACATTCCAGAAAAATGGGGGAGATGACCAAACAAAAGCTCAAAACACTCCTATAAAGATAAATTCATCTTTCTTTGTCCTGTTCTAAATGGAGGACGTTTTGAAATTCCTCCTGGACAGAAAGTTGAATTGTAGGACATGTCCTGGGAAAGGTGCAGGTCCAGTTGCTCTGCCTCTGGGGAGTGATTCTTCTCTCCCCTCTCTCTTTCCCTCTCTTTCTCCTCCTCACAGGAAGATCTCCAGTTAACCAATCAATCAATGTATCAATTGTTTTACTGCGGTCAGTGACCATATTCCAAAATTCATTGGCTAACATAAAATACATACAACTACAAGCATTAGTAAAATAGAAATAGAAATATATACTGTAACTATAAATATAGAAGTCACACAAAATATGAAACATAAGACCTGAACTATATCTAGAAAAAAGTCTACGCTGTCCCTTTGAAACATTGAGAGCCAGTGTGGCCTAGTGATTTGGGGGTTGGATTATGACTCTGGAGACCAGGGTTCGATCCCCACCTCTGGCATGAAACCGGCCAGGTGATCTTGGGCAAGTCACACTCTCTCAGCCTCATGGGAAGGCAAGGGAAATCCTCCTCTGAACAAATCTTGCAAACATAACCCCATGATAGGGTTACCCTAAGTCAAAAATGAATTGAAGTCACACAGCAACATTTGAGGGAATAACCTTCAAAGCTTGGTGCAGACTTTTTAATTGGTATATTTTAAAGAATGTATTATATGAATGTATTTTAATGGTTTTATAGTACTGTGGGTTTTATGTATTTTCTTTTTTTAATTGTGTTTTGGATTTTAACATGTTGTACTCCACCCCAAGCCTTGAGGAGAGATGGGAAATAAATAAAATATATTATTATTATTATTATTATTATTATTATTATTACTACTACTACTACTGCCAATTCTAACTAAAGTAGACCCATTGAATCAGTGGGGTTTCTGTGATGACTCACCATTCAACAAACATAGAAGATTATTGCACTCGGTTATAACGTAGCTTATCTGAGCCAGCTTAAAATTAGAAGCGGGCAGCATCCTGATAGTATCACACACATTTAGCCGCTGAAATCACCACCCAGCTGCTCCAAGGGGCGCTCCTTGTGCCTCTTTTTGAAACTGGGAGTTTTCCGGCTTGAAAAAATGGCCGCTGGAGCAGCCCTCGGATCGGTGATGGAGCCGGGCTGCAGCTGAGTGGCAATTTCAGCAGCTAAATGTGTGTGATACTATCAGGATGCCACCCAAATCTAATTTTAAGCTGGCTCAGGTAAGTCACGTTATAACCAAGTGCCTTTGACAGCTGTGTCCTGTGTATAGGAATGGAAAGGTGGAGGGCTGTGAGTGTTGTATCTGACCTGCCCCACCCCAACTTAAGGTAAGCTGAGCTCTGGTGGCTGCAGCAACAAGATTGTGAGTTCGATCCCAGGGGCTCCAAGGTGGACTCAGCTCTCCATCCTTTTTTAGGTCAGTAAAATGAATACCCAGATTGTTGAGAGCAATTGGCTTACACATTGTAAACCACTGAGAGACTGCTTGGTTCAGCTTGAAACGGTATAGAAATGTAAATGCTATCACTATTGCTATTCTATGGGGTTTTATTGGGAGGGACAAATTATACTGGAGGCAAACACAGATTTGGTCCTTTTGCTCAGCAGATAGTGAAAAAGAAGCTGGGGGGAACAACTCTCCAGCCTCAAATGCCAGTCTTACCCACCTTTTCTGCTGCTCACAACAGGGCAAATGGAGCTCATATTCCTAGCCCAGACCTTGCTGAGGGGAGACAGAGCTGAGTGCCCCTGCTGCTTCTCTGGCAAGCCTGAGTAGTACCCAAAAGGAGAAGGCAGGAGCGGCTCTTCCTACCTTCTCTATTTTGCTCACCCTCTCTGGACACTCGTTGCTGCTGGGAGGGGCTGGAATGGGGCACTGGGATGGGGTTGAGGGCCAGAGACCAGAGGAATCCGATATGAGGCCACCCCACTGACATCACTAGGAGGATGCTTTGGTGAGGGACCTACCTTTCCTTCATTCTTAGCCTTTTCATACAGAAGGGAATCAAGGGAGAGCAAAGCATGCTCTGCCACCATGTCAGAAACTGGCTGAGTTTCCAGGATTATTGCTCTCCAAACATTTCTGTACTTTTTTTCATTTTTTAAAAAAATAGTCCACAATAAAAAATAAAGATACAATAAAATGGTAGCTAAATAATACAATAATAAAACCAATACAATTCATGAAATTATTATTTGAAAACCAGGAGTAGGTGAAAGAGTTAACAATTAGAAAATGAACAGGAAAATGAACCAGGAAGATGCCTGGGTAAACAGATGGATCTTCCTTGATGCCAGACAACTTTGGGTGCCTATGAGATTTCAGCGAAGAGGCCATTTTGTATGGTGGGAACCATAACACATTTGCCATAGCCAAATGGATATCAGGGCCATATCTAGGCACAGTGATCCACAGTAACCTCAGGGTTGCCCATATAGCTTCTCAGAGTATAAAGACCATGCAGGATTTAGAGGAGAAGACTATATCTCAGATAACTTGTCCATGAGCTCTACAGGACCTTACAAAAAGTAACCCCTTGAACATGGGTCTGTATCTCATTGGTAACCAGTGCAGATCTTTCAGCCCATAATAGGAGGCCTAAACACCTTGGCTGCTGTGTTCTGCACCAGTTGCAATCTCTGAACCAAGAAAAATAATAGTTCACTATGTCCAATCCTGATAAGGAGCGCTGTACCCAGACTATCTCTGACATATATATCTATATGTCATAGCTGTCATGCCCGGTGGAGGTCATAGGTAATGTTTGCAACTGAGGCCAGACTCTCTGGCTCTCAAAAGGCTGAAAATCAAGAGGGCACCTAGCCCTGGGTATATCCAGTTTTGCTCCTCTCTCTCTTTTTCTGTCAGGGAAGCAAAGGGAGGAAGGTGCAGAGGATCTTGCACTTTATATTCCTCCTGACAAGATGGGGTTTCAGAGAGGCAACAGGATAGAAAAGATGGCAAGTCAAATGTTTGATCTTTGCTGGCTTGGAGAGGACGCAAGCAGACACTTCTACCAGTTCACTCCCTCAGCAGAGTGATGAGGAGGACTGGGCTAGTTGGGACCAGACCATTGTACCAGTCCAAAGGAGAGAACAGGCGAGTGAATGAGTGAGTGAGTGGGTCTTGCAAATCATTTTGGACCCTGACTTAAAAGTCTCACAGGGAAGCTGTTAGGAAGGATCTAATTAGATGCTGGCGAAACATCAGAAAGGAACTCTTCTAGAACATGGTCACACAGCTCGAAAAACCCACAAAAAACTCTAGAATGAGTGTTTGACTATGCCTGGCTTCTCCTTTCTACTGTATAAGAAACTTCAGGAGAACATGATCACTGCCACCTAAGGATCCCACCACTTGTACCCCATTGACCAGGTCATCCTTGTTGGTTAGGATCAGATCTAAAATAGCTGATCTTCTTGTAATCTCTTCCACCTTTTGGACAAAGAAATTGTCTTTGAGGCAAGTGAGGAATTTGCTAGACCTTGAAGTATTGGCTGAGTTTGACTTCCAGCAAATATCCAGATAGCTGAAGTCACCCATCATTACTACATCTCTCCTTTCTGAGTGCATGGTCATCTGTTCTAGAAAGGCATCATCCAATTCCTCAGTCTGACTTGGGGGTCTGTAGTCGACTCTCACAATAACATCCCTGTTGTTTCCTTCCCCTTTAATTTTTATCCAGATGTTCTCCACCTGATTTCCAGGATTTAAGTCCTCGATCTCTTCACAGGTGTACACTTCCCTGACATATAATGCTATTCCTCCTCCTTCCCTGTTTGGCCTATTCCTCTTTAAAAGGTTATACCCCTCTATTCCTACATTCCAATCATGAGACTCATCCCACCAGGTTTAAGTGATACCTATTATATCATATTTGTTTTGCTGTGCTAGGAGTTCAAGTTCATCTTGTTTATTTCCCATACTCTGGGCATTAGTGTAGAGAGCATGTGTCTTCCCCACTTGCTGCCTGTGTGAGGTGTTTTTTTCCTCCCACTGTTGGGCCTTTGCATCATTTGCCTTGTTCCCTCTATAACACTTTGACTATTATTTCCAACCCATGATGTACTCCTGTCTTCTGTCTCCCTCCCCCACATGACTCAGTTTAAAGCCCTCCTGATCAAATGTTTGAGACTATTGGCAAAAATGCTTCTGCCAACTGGTGTGAGATGCAGCCCATCTCTTGCTAGAAGTCCACCCTCATGGAACCACAGCCTGTGATCCAATAATCCAAATTGTTCTTGGCGGCACCATCCACAGAGCCAGTTATTCACATTTGCTATCTTCCTCTTCCAGCTCTTTCAGCTTCCTACCCAAAGCCTCATAATCCTTTCTGATTCTGAAGACTGTGCCTTGCAGTATCATTGGTTCCCACATGGACCAAGAGGAAAGGGTAATGGTCAATATGCTTGACAAGTCTTGTCAGCTTTTCTGTCACATCACGGATTTTTGCCCCAGGGAGACAACACACCTCCCAGGACATCTTGTCAGGCCCACAAACCACTCCTTCTGTACCCCTCACAAGGAGTCCCCAACCACCACCACACACCTCCTCCGAGTCTTAGCAGTGGCCATTCCCTGTGGTGGTACTCTTAGGGTCCCCTGCACTGTCCCTAAGGACTGTCCCTGCTGCTCTTCCTCTTCATCCTTGATAAGGGAGAGAGCTTCAAATCGATTCTGTAGCTGCAAGCTCCTAGAACGATCCCTGCTTTTCCTAGTTGTGTGTGTGAGACGTTCCTCCAGATGTCCACCTCCTGGGTGCCTGAAATGACCTCCTCCCCAACAACTTCCTCTGTGTGGTCCTCATCCAAGCCCATTTGTTCCGCTCTGTCCAGGAAAACCTCTTGCTCCCTAATATGCTGAAGTGTAGCTACCCGGGCCTCCAGATGCTTGGCTTTCTCTTCCAGGAGGGCTATGAATTTGCACTAGGTGCAGGTGAAGTTCCCCACATCTCTTGGTAAGAAGACAAACATCCC